ATGAGGATGTTTCACCGGCTATTTTGTTTAGCCTTGTGGCACAACCGGCTCTTGTTAGCAGATTTATTGATGCACAACAGGAGGATGGGGAGATGAAGTCCATCCACGATCGAGTTACAGGTGGCGAGAATATTGAGGGTTGGACCTTGCATTCAAACGGTGGTCTCAGGTATAGAGGGAAGATGGTTGTTCGTTTGTCTTGTCATGACATTGTTCTTCGGGATTTCACCATTCTCTACTTGCAGTTCATCCTGGTGATACGAAGATGTTCGAGGATCACGCCCCGCTCGCCCGACCTCCTCTGCCTGATCTCTCTATCTCTTTACTCTTATCATTTTTATATATCTGTGATATTTGACTGTTCTATTTATACTGTTATGATATTTTTGCGGCCAGTCTGTTGGCCCAAACACTGTGATGTACATTAATTTTTCTTTTTATACATGTTATCTTTTGGATGTCATATCTTTATATTGATATATCTGTCTGTGATTGACTCTATTATCAGGTACATCCCAGTGACTTCAATGAGAGAGAGTACTGTCCAAATTTTTCAGGACCACCCTTATTCCTCTCTTTTTATTTCATTTATTATCCCATTTACACTTGCATGTCTATTATACATTATTATTATCCCTTTTGTTATCTGATGAGTTTTATCCAAGTGTCATCTTTTCAGGACCATAATTAATCCCAAGTTTGGGGGGGTTATACCACCCACTTTAGATACTTGTGTCCCGGCCATTCTTTGCCATAGTTGTACTGGTATACTCTTTCATTTGTTCTCTTTGCACATTGAGGACATTGTGCCATTTAAGTTTGGGGGTAATGGTGTTATTTGCAGTGTTTGTTTTCAATTCAAAATTTTGAGCATGACTTGTGTATTTGAGGGATTTTCTATGATTGGTCCATAACTAGCCATGATTTTGATCTTTTGAGGACTATATTGCTTAGAATTTAAAAATTGTTTGACTTGAGGGTCCAATACTCCTTTTATGCCTTGTGGATGCCATTTAGGAGTAAATTTTTTGAAAGATTGATATCATGCTTGCACTTGTGGTCCACATCATCCTAATTTTGTGATGGCTTTGAGATTCACCCTAAGATTCTACACTAGCACAGGTGCACACTCGCATTCATTTATGGGGTACATGCTTTGTTGATTATTGAATTGGTTATATCCCAATTGGGCTAGTAGTGCATTGAAAACTTTTATGTTGACAAAGGTGGATAACAAACCCTTTTCATTGAGTAGCCGGGATTCTAGCCTCATCAAGCATTGAATTTCTTGCCCCAAAAGGTGGAGGCCCAAACTCTAGGTTAATAATTGAACTTGAAAAAATAAATAAAAAATAAATAGAGTTGCAAAAGCAATAAAAAAATGAATACTTCTCTTAAAAGGTGAGAAGTGGGAAATGATTAGATGGAGGTTGTTTTGATTTATAGCCTAGTTGATTTGAGCTTGTAAGTCCTTAGGGGTGTTTAAACGCCTAATGCCCTAAAGATGTCCGGTTTGGGAGTCATTAACCTAACGCTCGACCTCATGGATCGCTAAAAAGCTTAATAGATCAACACATTACACCATACTTCCATCTTTGATCCTTAGGGTAGTTAAAAAATATATTAAAAAAAAAAAACAAGCGAGTGAAAAAAATAAATGCACCTAGATTAATAAAGCTTTAATAAAAGGTCCACTCTTTGTTTTAATGATCGGGACTAGATTTGTGTGCTAGTTTGAGGTTAAGGATGTGATCATTTCTTTAGTTGGCTTAGATAGCAACATACTTGATACCGGTCCACTCAAAAAGGATTCTAATGTTTTCTTGATCTGTATGATCATTTTCTTGATGTGTGGAGGACCATACTTGCTTACTTGATGTTGAAATTTTGGGAGATTGCTTGGAAATGGTTGAAAAATTGCATACTTGAGGTAGTTTTCTCCCAATGCTTGTTTGCAATATTGGTGCCTCTTTTGTGAGAATGAGCTTAATGTTTGTGGGTATCATTTTTGGAAACCCTCACGAGACTTCACTCATCCACTAGGAGTAACCTAGGGGTTTAAAAGGCTTGTTGCATATGCTAAATGCAATCATATTCCCTACGAAAGTGGTGTTATCCTTTTATTGTTTTCTAGTTCATACTTGTATAGTTGTTCATTTCATTCCTTTACTTTGTAGTTCATTGCTAGGGATTAGCAATATTTAAGTTTGGAGGTGTGATGAGCGCTGAAAAGTGCGCATTTAAACTCCTTAAGCTTAGGTATTCTAGGACCTTTATCTATTTTACTTTCCCGTTTTAGACTAATTTCATATTATTACCCTTTTCAGGCACTTATCCCAAAAATAAGTTAATTCAGCCAAATAAGAGCATTAAAGAAGCTAACTCAAGCTGGATGGAAGAAATGAGCAAAGTGGAAGCAAAGTGTGGAAAAACAGCATCTTCGATCGATCAGGAATATTTTTGATCGATCTCATATTGATCGATCTCACTTCACTCAGATAGATCCAAGCCATTGTCCTTATCCAAAAGATCTCACCATCTTCGATCGATCCAACCTTCTTTCGATCGATTGAAATTATTCGATTATCCTCACCTACCACCCCACCTACCACTCTTGTCTCTTTCCCAAAATATCTCAGAGATTTGTCTTTATTCAAAAAGGCACCGCCAAGGATGATCGATCACTGTAGCATTCGATGGATCTCACCAATGTTTGATTAATCTCAAGACAATTCGATCGATCGAACCTCCTCAAGTCCGAATTAAAACAGAGTCCAGTTCATTAAAAGTTGGCTCATGGTGCAATCATTCCAAGGACCCTAGTGCATGAATCCAGACCATTGGGTATGACACTTGAGCCTCCTATATAAGGATTTTGAGCCTCTTTTACATCATATCTTAGGGAAACTTTTCATATCTCATATTATTGATTCACTTTTCACATCTTGGAGAGGAGGCTAGAGACTAGAGAGTTTTTACACATCTTTGGGAGTTCTTCCATTCTTCTAAGGTTTCCATCAAGAAAGAGGTCATTCCTACCACGGAGATAGCCCTTGGGTTGGATGACTACTTCAATGAGTGGCTTGACATCTACTTGGGGCTAGAGTAGCCCCTAAGTTCGCTTCCTAAACCTAGTGCTTTGTATATTTTTGGGGATTCACTTGTAATAAATGTTTTGATCTTGGATTTATATATATATGTATATCTTGTGGTTTCTACTTGATGTGTATGGATTAATGCTTTCAATTGATTATCTATTTCTAATCATATGTCTATGTATGCTAGAATGGATGATTCATGTGTTTTTCTTTAGATTTAATGGAATTTATGCATGTCTATGTGTATGGATGAAGTTAATCTAGAGATGATCAAAACATAGTGCTTAATTGAACACTCTTGCAATTTATTTGATGGTTCACACTTGTTTCTTGATGGATTGTGCCACACCGTTAGCTTACTTAGTTTATTTTCATGTCTTTAGTGTAGATGTAGTGTAGTTCCTTTAGATTCATAGATAGGTGGACAATCTATTCTTGTTCCTTGGTGTTCCATACTTATAAATACAAAGAGTGTATGTTTCAAGATAGTTGTGTGTGTATAAATTGTGATTTCATTGAATAGATTTTGGTCTCATTGAATAAATTGTGTATGTTTCCATTTGAATTGGCTAGACAATCTATACTTATTTACCATCTATGCCCTAGTTTTAATTAATGTCACACACACTCACAAATTACAATTCAATTTCCCCATTGATATACAATTGCTAGTGTTTAGTGAAGTCAAGCTTAGTGGTGAGCTCTAGTACCCCAAGTCCTCTCCTCTATATCTTTTTCCTACTTTCTAAATTGTTACTTTTGGTTGCTTTAATTTCAATTGCATCATAGTTTAATCAACCCAAACAATCTACCTTTGATCACTCGACCTACTAACCCTATGTATTGTTTCCATTGCTAGTGCACCCACAATCTCTTGAGACGATCCCTACTCACCTTAGCTATATTTTTAGTTAGAGGTAGTAATGGCATTTATAAATTTAAACTTGGCCACACTATTTTGCACAAATTTGGTTGTACCCCAAATGACACACCAAGGTATGAGCAGTGTTTGAGATTATTTGGGGCTGAAAGTGTTTGGGTGTAAGAGAGTTACTGATCAAGGATTCCAAACATTGTTGCAAGAGATATGTTATGGTTTTCAGTCACGTTGTAGCAAGAAAGATGTTAGGGTTTTAAAGGGTTGCAGAGCTAGCCGTGTATGCTTAAAATATTCCTTAGTTGCCTTTCAAACTCTCACTTTAGGAAGAAGTTTGCCTCTACTTTTCATTATCTGCTTGGCGTGATTATCATAAACCCTCTTATTCTTGAAGAAGAAAAGAAAATGGCGACTCCTTGGGTTTGTTGTGTGATGAAGGGGATAACTGACATATCTTATCACAATCGATGTGTTGTCAACTCATTATTGGTTTGCCAAATTTCCCTTTCCTCCTCATTAAGTAAAGCTTCAATTACCTTAAACTTTGTTGTTTTAATAAGGTTATAACAGTCTTTTGGTTTTTCCGGTACAGCAACGTTTGCTTATGGACTGAATTGCAACAAATACATAGTTCAAGAGGACAAATATATAGTTCAAGAGGGGTTTTTGTAGTTCGGGAGGTTTGTTGCAACAACACCCCAGTATATTTTGGAATTTTAAGCAAATTGTACATATATATCAGTGTAAATATGTAAAGTGTTGTTGTGTGCTTAGAACAAAAGACAACCCAATTGGGTAACAAACAAGAGGGTACACAATAGTTACTCAAAGCCCATATATCAAGCCCATTGGCATTGAATATTTGACCATTGGAGATAAATTAATTCAATCTTTCTAGTGATCAGTTTTGCTACTGTTATTCTGAGTTGTAAACATGTAATATCTTTCTCCAGCTCCAAGAATATTTTTGAGTTACTATTTTTGAAAAATAATGCATGAATCCACTGTAATGCCTTGGCTATTATCATCAGAGACGAGTATATCAGAATTTCATACAACTTTAGACGAAGCATTTGTAGTACTACTAATCATATTCAGTCCATTACATTACATCAAACGCGAATCTCAAACCCTTCATAAAGTGAACACACCAACCCAAATTATTATTATTGTTCTTGTGGTTTTTTTTATTTTTCTTTTTTTCAAATCAATTCATCTTCAGAGAAGAAAACCAACCACAATGTAAACAGCAAATCCATGCTCATATGGGTATGGGAACGATGAACATCGAGACAATGTGATCTTTCCACACTTTTTCTGGATGAGTATATCCATCACCATTCTTGAAAAGGACATCCATTACTCTGGTTAGGTTGACAATTCTCCTTAGAAGATGCATCGAGATGGAGTTTGGCTTCAAGCATTCCTCATTGATATCTTTCCATGCATTTTCAATCCTTCTATTGAACTCATCAGTTACTTCTTCTTTGGACATGCCTGCATGCTCCTTCATGTAGCATATAATTCCTGTAGCGACGTGTCCCCTCTCCTGTTCTTCCTTCAAATGTTCAAGATTTATAAATATTAAGATTCGATTATTGTGGCTAGCATTTCATTTTCATTTAATTTTTTTTTTTTTTTTTTTCATTTCCATAGAAAGTATTGTAAGTAATTACATATACATAACATACCTCATAATCTACTATGTCGTCCATGAGCCTTACAATTGTACATGAAGCAACAAGAATTTTAGGTTTATTTTTAATCCAATCAAAAGCCTCAGTTGTACCAATTTCTCCCATGCCCATAAAGGATGATGTTGTGAGCAGGGAATAACCAGCGGTGTTAAGTGCGTTGCCCATATACTCATTGAATGATGGCACATATCCTTCATTAAACCACTTAGCCTCTACGTAGTAACTCCCAATAAGTTCTTGTAACTGATAATGAGTTAAAACAAATAAATCCTTGTTACTATTAGGATATATAAGGTGGAAATAATAGTTCTTTTTAGACCATGAAAAGGACATACTGCATTTTTTGAACCACAAACGCTATAGGATCTTTCCTGTTTTGTCATTTCCTTTTCAAATTCTTCGTAGAGATTTAGGAGAGCTCTATACAATATCTTCATATAATCTGGGAGCGGATTGACGGCGCTCATGTCCCACCTAAAAATTAACCGGTCAATAATTTCCTTTTTCATTTAATATAGTAGACCATGAGAAAATGAACAAGAAATTTATTTGTTAGCATGCACAAGAAAAGACTATAGAACTTATGCAATTCATAAGCTACAGTTTGAAGGCCTGGCCTGGTCTGGTCCACAAATTCGATAAACCTATCTTCTTTACAAAAACAAGAACTTAGAGTTGGAAATATTATACCTTTGCACTGCATCTGTAAAAGGATTGAGTTCTTCAATTGTACCATATGCATCATATGTATCATCTAGAATTGATGCCATAATAATAATTTTGGCGAGCATGATCCGTCCAAAGGAGTAACAAGGTTCAAAATATGCTGTCATAGCCCAGAAATAGCACTCAACCACTCTGTTCCTTGAGTAAGGAAGTCTAGAGTCAAAGTCTAGTTCTTTCCACCACCTATATACAATAGAAAAGATGAATCAGATTTACACAAAATGCATCCTTTCTTTCCCTCTCCACATACACACACAAACGAACACCCTGGTATATTACCTTGAGACATGGCATAGTTCTTGCTTGTGCATCAATTGTACTAGATTGAAGTCAAGCTTTGCAAGTTTCAATAACAGATCATTCTTTGAAGCATCTTCTTCATAGACAGAGATGTAATGCCTTGCCTCTGATCTTGGGAGGCCTTTGTGGAGGGGTTGCTTTAGGGCATGCATCACTTGCTTTGCAAGAAAAGGGCTTAATTCGGTTACCATGGACTCAAGGTGAGTGGTGGTGAAAGCAAGAGCCTCATCTAGAATATCTTCTCCGTGTATCCTCAAATGTGCAGCTTCATACAAGCTTAGCATCCCCATAACATCCCTAGTAAGGTTCTCATTGAATTTACCATTGTTGTCTTTAAATTTGATGAAGACATCTGTTCCACAGCACACAATACCATATAAGCCATTTATGTTAAAATTGAATAGAGAAACAAAGTATGAAAAACACAAGGCAATAATATACGTGGTTCAACCATTAGAGCTTACATTCACGGCACACAAAGCCCAAAGGGCTACATATCTTTTATTAAAATAATCTCTCTTTTTATGCCCAATACAATGGTGAAGACTCTTTATATAGGAGAAGAAATAATGAGAATAGAAAAAGATAGATATAGGAAACAATATCAATATTGAAAAATTTTTATCCACAAATCCCTCCAGTATCTTCAATAAAAAGAAACATCAATAATGGAGAATTTTCCTCCATTGATTCCTTCAATAACAAATATAATAATAAATCTTCAACAATCGAAAAGAGCATCAATACTGGAAGATTTTCTCCTCCATTGATTCCTCCATTAAATCTTCAACAATTTCTAAGTACAAGTTGTGAATTGCATACTTTTATATAAACATTTATGTAAGTGATCCATGAAGGGCTTAATAATTACCACAAGATATGTTATGACCATGTTGTCTGAATACTCGAAAATGAACAGCAGCTATGAACAAATCATTGCAGTCTTCATTATTTTCAAGGTGAACATGAGAATGAAAGATTTGTTCAAGCTGCTCTTCGATCTCTTTCTCGAAGTGATAGAAAATACCAAGGCGCTCAAGTGTGTTGGTCAAACTCATTTTCTCGGCCGTTGTACTTTTTGCATTTACTAGCAAACTTCTCACTTCTTCTTTCAACACTTCAATCTCTTTAGAATGCAATTCATATGCCTGCATCATACAAAAATAACATAGCAACTTAATTAACTTATGCATATATGGAGGCATTGGTTATAAGTTCTCTCGAGAACAGTTACTTGTCCGAGTGATTTTTTACAATCGTAAGAAGCTTGAGAAATTATCTAAGTATGCATGGAAACTGTTATCAAGATAGCATAAAATGAATGAAATTGATAAATCATGCATGACATGTTTCATTGGCTTTGAAGTGAAATAAATTGCTGTCTGAAGAAAAGATATGCTCTGCACATAATAGGGAACACGTAAAGTGATCAGTGAAATCTAAAAATAAAAATAAAAAAATAAAAAAATAAAAAATAAAAAAAAACCAAAAGCAACTAGTAATTTTGGAATGCGCATAATTATCACATGAAACATCGACACTCAGGCTATGCTAAATTGTGACATATCTCGCGTCATAAAAGGAGAACTTGATAACAATTATGTGTAGATGCCTTCAAACTAGAAGGGTGGGTTCGTGACAGATGGTATCAAATCGATCAATCCATGAGGTAATTTGCGAAAGAAAAGTACGCAAATCCAACAATATCTACACAATGAGTTGTGTAAATATTTTTGAGCGCTATATTATGGCCACCCATTGTGGTAATCTCTATCTGACACATACACTCGCAAAAAGTATGTGTATATATATACACACACGCGCACACCACGTACATAAATGTTACCTGGTTATCTAGAACAAATGAACTGAAACGATCACCCCATAAACTAGGCTTGAAGTTTGCCAAAGGGCGAGGAGTTTCGGACTGCAGGCAGTTCATCGGATTACCATGAACTGTGGTGGAGGCCATTTTTAAGATGTATGGATTGTGACTAACTTTTCTTGATACCAGGAGTTAAAAGAAAGGCTAGCTATGTACTACACCCTTCTATCCACATGCATATTTATAGAGAAAAATGGAGTGAATTTAGTTCGTCTGCATTTTAGATTTATCAATATGCATGTTTCACATATGTTATAAGAACATTACATTTACCTTTTATGTAGTCGATAATGAATAGACCTTAATCCTTTCTGTTTGTTTGGATTGGGTCAGCTAACATATGCATCTTTAAAATGTTTAATTGTGAAGAAAAAAAAAAGAAAAAAAAAAAAAGAAAAGAAAAGAAAAGAAAAAGGATTGACCTAGCGGTACCAGGCCCTATTTTCCCAAGGAAGGTCAGGGTTCGAACCTTAGTAGAAAGACATGTGTGTGAGTATCAACTAAGAAAAATAAAATAAAAATGTTTAATTTAAGGTTTTTATGGTGTACCTAGTACTATTTCTTGGAATATCAATTTTTTTTTTTTTTTAGTTAAACCAATTTCAAAGTTATACTACTAAATATATAGGTTACATTATTTAACATTTTGGACTTTCTATAGATCTTCTATCAACATCATAGTTTTTTATTTTATTTTTTTGTAAGAAAAAAATAGTCTGTAGCTGAAATGTCATGCACAAATGACATGGAGGAATGTAGTTTTTTTTGTTGGTAAGTAAATGTGGAGGAACTGAGTTGCTAAGCAATAATTTAAGAAGTACGGATATTTTTACGATGGAGTCATGCTGGTAGCGTGTTCGTGTCAGACACCAATACTTGTCGAACACGTGTTCCACACTCACTTTCGGACACTTCACGTACACTTATTGGACATTTAGTCCGACACTTTTAAATATTTCTAATACAAGTCTACTCAGTAATTCTGAAAATAATATGAACACATTCTAAAGTGTTCAACCTTTTTCTTTTAAAAAAAAATAATAATAATAATATTATACACATATGGTAAAAATCGAAACATTAAATGATATTTGTTAATTTAGAATAAAAACATTATTATGACAAAGTAGTGAAATAATTGTACATATGACATAAGAGTCATTGCAACTCTTATTATAAAAATTAGAAATAAATTAAAGTTTTATACTACTATTCTTTAATACATGTATATAAATAAAAATTTATATTTATATATAGTCTTGTCCAAACCGTACTCTTGTTCTATTTTTAAAAAATTTAACATGTTAACATATTCGTGTATTCGTATACATGCTACACAGGTAATATGTCACTTTTTTGTTTTTTTTTTTTTTTTATTTTTTTTTTAACGAAATACTATCTCACTTACCGGATCAAAAGAGATATAATCACAAACTCATTTACGTGGACATGATTTAACACATATGCCTAATCGCAAGCTACAAACTTTTGTTTATTTACTTTTTTTTTTTTGTCTTTTCAGGTATCTCACATTCAAAAATCATTACTTAGCAACTTTGTTTCTCCGCATATACAATGAAAAGGAGTCACGGACTACCATCTCGAAAGAAAGCTGAAATGTCAGAAATGAAAGGAGTTACTGTACTATCTCACTAATGGTCCGAAACTGATTTCTGGTCGCTACATCCTAAAACCTGTACGCCCAACGGCCAGCCACAAATTTTTATTTTTATTCACTATTTGTTGCTCTTCATTGATCGACATTAAAAAGATTTTTAAAAAATTAAATTTTAGAAAGGACATGACACGTGTACAATGACAAAAAGATAATTCCCTTTCGACATAACCCCTTCTTTTAGGAGAAAAGTTATTGCCCTTTCAATTAGTTATTATAGATGCAACCAGTGTGCCAATTCTATGTGCCACTGGTTTATTTTGTTATAAATTGAGCTATGTTTTTATTTTATTTTATTTTGAAAATGTAACGCTCCATCCTAAACCCTTACCTTAGTAACTTAACCGAAAAAAAAAAAAAAAAAAACCATCTCTTAGTATACAATGAAATAAAATTAAAAAATAAAATTTATGTGACATTACCCATTATTTTAGAGGAAGAGAAAAAGTTGTTGCCCTTTTAATTGTTCTAGATATAGACCAGTGTGCAAACTCTCGGTGTCACTTGGTTAATTTTGTGACATATTGAGCTATAATTTGTTGTTTTCATTTTAAAATAATTGTGAGTCAAAATTAAAATAATTGTGAGTCAAAATATTTACCTTTTGAGATAATAAGAAAAAAAGTAAAGTACAGCAACAGTTCTTGAAGTTTGTCAAAAGGACATACAGATATAATTTACCATTTTTGGAATAAAGACACCCCCTCAAATTTGATACAGGTACCAAAGACACCCCAATGGTAATAAATTGACATTTTTGCCCTTTGACTTTTATATTGACCAATTTAAATTTTAAAATGACCTTTCTATCCTCTATATGCAAACCCATAACCATTTATTTCCTTCTCTCCTCTCTCCGTTCTCTCTTCCTTCTCTTGCCGCACCAACACAGACACACACATATATATGTATATACAGACACACACATATATATGTATATACAGACACACACATATATATGTATATACAGATACATACGTATATATATATCCACACACACACACAAAGCGGCAGCGACGACGGCGAACTGTCGACAAGGAGAATCGCACGAGTGAATTAGATAATGATGATGATGATGTCGAAGGGCAGCAGCGATTGTATCACGCGCAAGTTTCAGAAGGAACGGGTTGGGATCGAGGTTATCAAGAGATGACTTATTGATAACTGGCTTCTTCAGGTGATGTCTTATTGACAAAGCTCCGATCTGGCGACGGCTTGGCCAGTGAATTGACGACGAAAGCGAGGTAGGTCGCCTTGGGACCGGGATGTTGTCTTGGGGTTTAATGCTTCATATTGGGTGAAATTGGGTCGGATATGGTTATGGGTGTTGTCACCGGGAATGGCGTAAAGCCCGAGGACTTGATGGATCTGCTCTGGCTAGATTTGCGACGGTGGTGGTTATTTTGTTGTCAGCGGTTTTGGCGGTTGTTTTGTTGTCGGCGATTGGTGTTTTGGTGGTTGTTTTAGCATCGGACTCGTCGAAGGCGACAGAGGACGCAAACTACAGAGTGGTCATCCTTATAAGATGTGCAGTGCACAGGGATGAAGTTGCGAGGGTAGATGATTTCTGAGTATATATATATACCAACAAAGATCAGTCGGCGGTGGCGATTTGGGTTGGATAGAAAATTGGTGTCTAGTGTTTAGGTCTCCACTGGTTTGGACTGAGAAATTTTATGATTAACTTGGGGAAGGTTAGGGTAGCGTATGAGTGGATTGGATTGCAATTGTATGTGTGTCTGTAATACACGCGTGTGTGTGTGTATAAGAGAGAGAAAGAATAAACAGAAGAAATAATGGTAGTGGAGGAGGCGGCGACAGCTGAAATAAACTAAGGGCAATTGTGTCTTTTTACTATATCTAATATTTTATAATAAATCTGAGTTTAATATTAAGGGTAATTTCGTCTTTTCAAAAAATTTAAGGCCTTGTTTGATTAAAATTTCATACAAGTGGTATCTTTATCCAAAAATAGAATAAGTTGTATATATGCATTCTTTTGACAAATTTCAGATGGTGTTACTCTATTTTACCCAAAATAATGATTGAAAAGGAGTAAACTTTTCTTTTTGGGTAAAAATAAAAGTCTGATTGCAATAATGACTTTGGAATCGCTAGCAGTTGAAAACGGCTAATTTTAAGTTTTTTTTTTTTTTTTTTTTTTTTTTTTTTTTTTTTTGTTCGCCCTCTATTCGTTTTTGGTCTCCTTTTTGTGTCTTGGAAAATAAAAGGCTTGAGAAACTAGACATGGACCCTCACCCTTTACTAGGAAAAGTAGCTTTAAGTTTTCCTTTTCTTTTTCCTTTTTTTTTTTATCTTTATTTATTTATTATTCTTATTATTCTTTTGTTATCAAAAGAAATGAATTTTTTTTTTTCTTAGTTGGTCAGTTGCACAGTCAGTTTATCCATATGCATGTTTCACATGTATTGAGTAATTTCTTTGGGACTATGTAATACACATAACTAGTTCCTTAGGTGATTTTTAAATTTGATAGATATTTTATGTGTTAAAATTTAAAATAACTTTATTAAAATAAGTTTTAACTGTTAAAATAATTTTTAGTTTTAACACAAGTAGGCTACGGAAAAAAATTCTCTCCTGTTACTCTTTCACTGGAGGATGTCAAGTGAACATCTAACGGTGGTGATTTACCTCCCCATCGTAGCCTTGTCAGCACCAAGTCAACAAGTTAAGAAATAAATTTATTTTTGTTTTACCATATAAAATGATAAGGGTGTTTTTGGGATTATATAATTTAAAAGTGTGAACATGACTTCGTAACAATCATTTTCTAGTAAAAAATTCCTCTCCAGTTACTCTCTCACTGGACGATGTCAAGTGAGCATCTAACGATGGTGATTAACGTTACCTCCCCAACATAGTCTTGTCAGCGCTAAGTCAGCAAGTTAAGAAATTTACTTTTATTTCACCAAGTCAACTTTTTTCAAGAAGGTTAGGCTTTTGAACTCATAGTTTATCAACATGTTTTTTTTAGTACTAAGATGTGTAAAATTATTATTTTCTTTTTAGGAAAAAAAAAAAAATAGTTTGCAGCTGAAATGTTATGCACAAATGACATGGGGGAATGTAGTTTTTTTTTTTCTTTGTTTTTTTGGCAAGTAATTGTGGAGAAACGGAGTTGCTAAACAATAATCTATGAAGTACGAATACTTTTACTAAGGAGCCATACTGGTATCGTGTTAGTGTCGGACACCGACACTTGTCGGACACGTGTTCAACACTCACTTAAAGACATTTCGCCTATATTTTTTGGACATTTAGTCTGACACTTTCAAAATTTTCTAACACAAGCCTATCCTGTAATCCAAAAATAATGTATTCGTGTATCCGTGTCCACGTTCTGGTGATATCTCACTTTTTTTTTCCCTTTTCTTCCTTTTTTTCTTTTATTTTTTTAACGAAGCACTATCTCGCTTACTGCATCGAAAGAGATATAATCACAAACTCAATTTTCTTTTTCAAGTGCTTTACATCA